CCCCAAAACCCCAAAACCCCAAAACCCCTTAAGTTATAATTTAAGGCAAATTTGATGTAATTTTAGTTTAAAAATTGAATATCTTGTTATAAATGAATATAATGAAGACTTGATATGGTGTAGATTGCTTGAAATTCTGACACCTAGTTATCTTCTCTTGTTATAAAATGAAATATTATCGTTATTTCTTAATCATCATTGCTTCTTCTTGGCCAAAGCATCAATAGGTACAACCTTCATAAAGTTGCTTTCAGAGTTTTGCTGAGTAGATTATTAAATTGGTCGTGCACCTTTTAGTTTTTCAGCTGCTAGGTCAGACAACTCAGCAGTTCCAAGAATTTTAAGAAGTCTTTGAAGTGAATTTGAAGCATCACCAGCAAGAGTTCTAAGGTCTGTGGCTTAGGTTTCGTTTTCCTATGCTTTCTTTGTTATTTTTCTAAGTCTTGATTTCTGTCTATTATCATAGTAGTTGAAGAGCTCATCTTGATCATCGTTCTGGAAAGCAATAAGTGATTTCTGGATCAAGTTGAAGTTAATCAAGTCGATACGATAGATGTTAGACTCTTCAATCTTGGATGGCAAAGCTTTCAGAGCCAGGTTGAGATCAATAAGATCCTTAGAAGTACTTGCATCGCTAATGAATATGAACTTATCCAAGAAATCTTCAATCAGTCTAAGTTCAGCCTCTGGGATTTGAATATCCTGATCTTCATCATCTTCATAGTTTTGGCCTTTCTTAGCACCAATGAGTAAATTTGTCAAATGCTGCTTTAACTTATCCTCATCAGTAACTTTATCGTTCTTGCCTCTGTACTTCTTTTGCTTGATACCAGCTAGCAATTTCTACAGGAACACTTCTCCGTATATCTCTTGAATATCCTTCTTTCTAGGAGGTTATTATTGTCCATCTTTAGGTGAGTTTTCTTTGCTGCTAGGTCTGTATTTCTTCCAAGCTTCAATGATCAAAGCCTTGTCTAGAATGAAGCTCTCGTTACTATCATCTTCTTCAAGAAGAGCTTTGATAGTGTTACTTACTTAGTTATTAAGCAGTAACTTCTTCTTTTTAGCCTCTTCCTTTTTCTTCTTAAAAATGTGCATAATTGATCTCATTACATCAATTACCTCATTGTAGATGACGATTTTGTCTTGCTTAAAGTCTTCCTCCTCTTTCTCTCTAAACTAATCTTCCTCATCTTGATAATCACAGAGAATCTTGATAAAGTAGAAAGTGTCTACAGCTGTGTATACAAGCATAGCTAAGAATCCAAAGAACAGCCAACAGAAGAAATTCGGTATAAATGTCTTAAAATTTGACAGTCTAAACAACTTCACAAACATTCTATTGAACTATTAAAAATGATAATTATTCTTACTTTCCATAAATTACAGGATACAATACTATTTCGTATGAAATAAATGCTATTAGATATAGGAAGTTTTCAGCCCAGAATATAAACTTACTGAACACGTCAGAGGCTTTTAACATAAGAGACTTTTTTATGATGCAAGGTAGAATGAAAATAGTAAACACATTTAAGGGAGGTGGATGAATTATAAGCTCTGAATATCCATTCGGGTCTAGCATAGCAATGGAATATTTTTCAATAAATTGATACTTATTAGATTTGAATGAAAACTCTCCTTCATCCTCCATGATTTCATAAACTGTTGAGAGAATAGCGACTAGATAGTTGAGCAGGAAAATATTTGAGATGAATACATGAACCATTGTAAGAATTGAGTTGCTAGCCAGGAAATTTGGTTTTTCAGTGTAAACGTAGGCACCAATGAAAGCATCAAATAAAGTTCTGTATGAAAGAGATAGAGAACCGTATTTTTCATTAATTGGGTCTTAAAACAACATCGTAAATATGGTTGCTGCAATCAATAAGTAGCAACAGACTATGAAGATGAAAGAGATAGTGTCGAAAAGCATTCTCACCAGCGTCATTATAAGTTTTGAAATGGCTCTGATCATCAAGAAATATCCAAAGAATCGACACCAACTTACTATGACCACAGCGATAACATAGTAATCTAGCTATTCCTTTTCTTTCTAATTAATAATTTGTGCAGGAGTGACACTACCAATCACATTGAAGCAAATAATGTTGAATATTGAGCACAGAAAATCAATTATAGACCACTTATCAATTGGCATCTTGATGTCGACACATAAGTTGAAAATCACTTTTGTCATTAAATGGAAAACTAAAGTAGCACTAAAAAGGGTACCAAGATAATTAACGCTATTATATTCTATGATCTTAGACTCAAGTAGAGCAGTTTGACCTAACTCAGTGAATCCCTCAAGATCAAGTCTGTTGAAAAGCTTTAGATATTGGAAGTTGATATACTAGAACAGAATGACCATTCCAGTTGCTGACGAAAAATCTTTGATATAGATATAGGAGATAGAGTAATGTCTGAACTTGTATTGATACCAATACTTCTGATCATCAACGTTTGCATTGAAATTTTACCAAAATAGCTGCTTTAAGCCAAATCTCACTCCTGGGATCTTTTATACCTTTTGAGTAGCAAGATAGTTGATCATGCTGAAGTCAGTGATTTGACCATCGCATTCATAAGAGTTTTTACCCTCCCATATTTCTTGAAGAAGCACATTGACTTTATAACTTGAGAATATAGGCTAGAAATCATTAACTGTAACAATCTTTAAGATGGTCCTATCCTTAAAGTCAACATCCAAGAAGACCTTTTCAATCTTATCATCATCAAAGTTATCCACGATCTTATCACCAAGTGTCATCAATCTAGACAATACTACCTTGCATTCATGTCTGAAGATGTTTTGATCTATTAACATTGGTTTGAAATAAATTCAATATGAGCTTACACTAAGCAATTTTTTTTACGAACTCAGAGGCTAGACAAATAGCCATGATGGGATTGTAACAGAGTAAAATTCTATTTTGCTCGTGACCTGAATCAATAATCTCCTTGATCATGTCAAGTAGCCCTCTAAGATTCTTTTACTTCCATCTGCTGAAATCTGCATACAACAGTACATTCAAAATCAACTCAGACTTGGAACCATTCTCGAAGATTGCCATTATATTTTTAACGATCAATGGCTTACCCAAACTGTCCGCATTGTAAATAGAATTTTTGAATGCGTATCTGGAAAATTAGATTTGAATGATTAAACTTACTTCAAAAAGATTTCATTAAAGTTATGAAGGCAAAAGATCAGTAAATTTTCATCTGCATTATCAAGATAGTAGAAAGCAACCTCACTAAATAACAATAATTAAGACTTGAAATTAGAAGTTCAAATTTTAATTTATTGTTTTACTTACGTTGCTACTCGGTCCATTCCGTTTTTAAGCAAGGATCTCAGCATGCTTTCTGAAGTCTTGAGCTTCCAGTTTGCAACTTGTCTTACACGAGCTTCAGCCTGGTCTTCTCCATAATCAATTAGTTTCTTGAAGACGTAGTCAAGTGTAAAAACCTTGTATTTTAATTGTGAATCATCTGATTGACTTTGCTTTTCGAAGCCGTTATTATTGTACTAAGGCATTTTTTGCAATTCTTAGTAGTTCTTGTTATAAGCAAATACAGAGCTATGGAAAAATTTAACTCTTCTTAAATTATTCTTACTATAGATAATCAATCTATGCAGTTTTAACAGCTCTTAGGATCATCTCTTCATCAATTTTAACATAATAGTAAGCAGCAATTATGCTAGCTATTTTTTCTTCTTGCATGTTTAGAGCGATTCTCATGACATTGGTGTTGAAAATCAATCCAACATGTTGAGTCAGTAAATACTTGATTTCAAGCAGCTCTTATTCGTTAGTAAACATCGCTGATCTACTATCATGTCCTAAATAAATATTTATAGATGCTTTTCTTACTTAATGGATCTCCACCAATTAGCGTTGTGCTTTCTCCATCGCGCTTGCCTTTGTTTAGAATCAAATTGCTTGACTAATTGCCTCTGATTTTCTTGGATTTAAGTCCTCCACCAATGGTGAACGTGTCCTCCTTGACTAGATTCATACTAGACTAGGAAGTGGCTTGCACAGCAGTCTTTTTGAAATAAATTGCGTTTGGATTCTAGTTTTGCATCTTCTTAAAATAGTTTTCACCAGGTCTAGCCTTCTCTGATTCAACCAGTTCTCTCCCACTCTTTCTCAGGTTTTACAAGATTTTTTCTAAAATAGGGTCCTATGAATGGATGAGATGTGCTAATTCAAGTCTTTCCAAGTGAATGCAAAGCCAAAAGGCAATCAATACTTCATATTTGAAGGTCTTGGCATCAAATATTTTCTAAACATCGGAAAAGTTTTTCTCGAGATCCTCTTTTTCTTCATTGTAGATATGTTACAATCTTTGATTTTTGATATCAAATAATTAAAGCCTACAAAAGTTAAAGTTAGTAACTGTTTAATTACTCAGGAGCGTTAATGTTAGTGGCACTAAGCCTGCAAAAGGACTCTTTGTTTGGAGCTGAAAGCTGTTGAGTGTCAATGTGAGACAAAGTTTTGGTCTTTTATGCCATCGAATTTTTATCGCTAATATTATCCAGAGCCTTTCTAGTTGAGTGATGCTGTGAGCCTTGAACTGAAGCAGCTTGACTCTCAGTATCACCATCCTTCTTCCTACGGTCTGTTGGTATCTCAGACATATATATTTGTTCTAATTTTAATTATTATCAAACTAAAAAAATTCGAATGATCGACTAAATTCCACTTTATGGGGTTTTGGGGTTTTGGGGTTTTGGGG